TCCGATCCCGTGTCCTGCCCGTGCGGGGTCGGACCCGCTGCTCCGTCTGTCTGACCCCGTATGGGCAGGATACATGACGCCCAGAACTACCTTAAAGCACAGAGTCAGCCGCTAGGCCCAGATCCACGAAGGTATTTAGGAGCCTCCAGACTTTTGTGGATGTTGGCCTAGGTTCCCAGCCACTGTCTGTGGAGGGGGCTCGGGCACCAAGCAGCGCCGTCATCCCTTGGGGCTCCCAGAGACGTGGGGCTCCCGCATTCCCCCCCACCCAGGGACTCTTGAGTGTTTCATTCCTCTGGGCGGCTTAGCCCGAGCTGCTGTTTTAATCGGTTGCTGCTCATCGGCGCGTCTCCACCCTCTGCTGTCTCTCTCCAGGAGAGAGAAGTGACAGCTGTCCCTAGCGGCTCCGCCGACTGGGGCTCAGGCCGGCTTGATTAATTACCGTCTCGCGGAAAAGAGGGAAGGAAAATGGAGCAGATGAGGCCTCTTGAAATATTAATGGCCCTTCCGTACGGCTGCTGGTTCCCTCCCCTCTCTGGCGCTAACCTGGCCATGCCTGATGCTCCTGTTTGCTAGAAACCCTTTTGAGTGGTTAAAGGCTCCAGTGCCGGGCGGATTGTCCCCCTCTCCCCCCGCCTTCCCTTTAGTTAATCAATTTGCACGTTTAAAATCCTCTTAGCGTCTCGGGCCCGCTCAGCGGTTTCCAAACTACAAAACTAAGCCGTGGATTTGGGCGCGGGGGAGCGCGGCGCGATCCGAGCCGGTCTCCGTGCGACGCTGGCTCGCTGGAGGCGCCCGGCCGGGCGGGGAGCGGAATTGGCAAAAGCCAGCTTGGTAGCGCTGCAGAAATGAGCCCAGTCCTGGCTGGTATTGAGCGTCTGGAAGATCGGGGTCGAACTGGGTAGTGTGAGAGAGTCCCTGCCCCACAGACAGGCTCGGGAGAAGAAAGAGACAGGGCTGCCAGGTGGATGGGGCTCTGGGCTGGCACACTGGAGGCCTGGGCTCTGCCACTGACTTCCTGGGTGACCTTGGACAAGTCCCTTCCTCTTGCCGTGCCTCAGTTTCCCTCTCTATAGCGTGGGAGAATGATACAGGCGTGCCGGGAGCGCCCTGTCTGAGCAGCGTTGTCACACAGGGAGCTGGCGGCAGAGGCGAGAATTGAATGAACCCCAGCCCGGTTCTGTAACCACAAGGCCGTTCTGCCTCACGTTATGCCACCTCCTTGCGGCTTGGCAGGCCGTTCTGCGCGAGGTTTCCAAGGGCAGGCGGCTTTGCCCTCGAAGCGCATTGATGGGGTTGGCTAGACGGCGATGCACGGCCACTAACTCTGGTGATTGGTCTTTGCCGTTAAAGTGCGGAGCCACGCCTGTGAACCGGATCAGTTCGGCAAACCTGGAGGCTGCTCCGACATCTGCCTCCTCGGGAACAGCCACAAGACCCGGACCTGCCGGTGCCGATCTGGATTCAGTTTGGGCAGCGACGGGAAGTCTTGCAAAAGTGAGTAGAGTTCCTGATCCAGGAGCCGGAGCAGGGGGTCGGCTAGGGAGGGAGAACAAACTGCAGCTCCTCTGGGAAGGGAGGGAGCAAGGCAGTTACATTGGGAAGTGTTCGGATAGTCTGGCGGTATCTGCACGGCGAACACTCCCGTTTGCGCGTGCAAATCAGACAGTAGCAGACTCCAGTGGGCACTTGTGCAATCAGAGGTAGCTGCATGCAGAACACAGGCATTTGTGCGTGCAAATCAGGCGTTCCTTGCACAAAGGGGCACTCGTGCATGCAGAGCTCCATTTGTACGTACAGTTGCGTGATTCGTGCGACAGAACAATGACACAGCTAGGTCTGGAAAAGCTTTTGCTCTGGGGCGCTGCAAAAACGGGCTTTATCCCTGGGGGGGGATATCCATTGGGGGGTGGGAATCTTACTGGCCCTGAACCCCTCCTGGGGCAACTAGAGACTAGAAACTCTTGTTTGGCTTGTGGCTAGCACCGGGCAGCAGTACTGCCAAGAGGATCCGTTGTGAAAAGCCACAAAGTGAAAAACACGATTACATTAGTCACTGGGTGTTGCTCAATTTCCCCTTTTCCCCACCCCAGCCCTCATCCTGAGTGGTGGGTAATTTCAGCGGAAGTTTCAGAGGGATTTGCTGACGCATGGATTTGTTTCCCTGCATGTTGTTAATACCGAGGGCGTCATGCGAGCCGCAGAGCAAAAAGTCGGTTTGATGCCGCTCAGTGCCACGTTGTGGTGACGCCGGCTGGACTGGATCAAACAGCCGCCCGGCGACCCGGTGGGGTCTGTGCGGTGACCTCCGTGGTGTGGGAATTTTCCCAGCCTGCGCCCGCTGTGAAGTCCAAACTCGCACCCTTCCCCGGAGCTTGGCTTTGTTAGCAAAAAACAATCGTCTGTCGTAAAGCTCAGCTTACACCTTTTCCCAAAGCTGGTCCGCTCCCAGAGATCCTCCTTCATCTCGGCTCAGCCCTGTGGCCCCTTCCTTAGTGGTGAGGGGTTATTGTTGGTTCCCAATTAATTCTGAGTCAACGAGCTGGGGGATTGCAGGGTTCTGGTCCCAGAATCTGGCTCAGCAGAATCCCGGCGATCTCCTTCAGTTGCTGGTTCTGGCCCCAATCTAGACGCTCGCACTGAGGGCAGGGCAAAGCTTTCAGTAAAGACCCCAAAGCGACCCACGTAAGAAGGTGGCAGACATCCAGAGTATCATTCCTCCTGCACGCACAGCTTGCCTCGGGGATCTGGCGGAAAGAGACGCAGGTCAGCCCTGTGCCTGGCCAAGCGAGCCCAGCTCCAGACCGAGATCGGCCCCCTCTTCGTACAGGGGGCTCTGAGCAGTGATGGGGCCTGGGGGCCCCATATTCATCCATATGCCCAGCCTGCCTTGGCCATGTCTAACTTCCTCACCCTAATAATGTTTCCACACCTGTATCCTATAGGTCAGCGTATTCGTAATTTGCACTTATTACCATAGACGTCAGTTGGTTGCCGCGGCAACTTCGTGGTTGAGCATTTGCCAACAGTTTATCCTAAAATATCCCAGCCTAGCGTCGGTTCAGAGTTCTGGTGGTTACCTGGCAGAAACGTCCCCCTTCAGCGCACCTTCCCCAGCTCCCCAAAACTGTCGGGCCAGTCAGCCAGAGCGCACGGGCCTCGAAGCCTGCTGCTAACGGCGTGAGCCGGCGGCTCACGGGGCACAGGCCTGTCGGTTCCTTTGCGCCCCCGCTGATGAAGCTAGTTCAGTAGGCTGCAGCCCACGCCCTCGATCCCCTCTCCCCGGAGAGCAGATCCCCCTCCCTTGGAGCCGGGGGGGTAACCCTGCCAGCGGGGCGGGGGTTCCAGGCGATCAGTGGGTTTTGCATTGCTGGTCTCCTCTTTCATTCAGCCCCAATCTCCTAGGCAGTTGCTTCCTTGCATCATGATTGTCACGGGGCAAGCCAGAGCATTGCATGCTGGGACCCCGCACTGTGCCGCTGCGTGCATGCGTGATCCCAGCGCCGGGAGCGCCGCACGTCTCAGAACCGGCGTGCCAGGAACCGGCCTGACTCTGCCCTTCCAGCCCGGCCTCACCCCGCCCCCTTTGCCTTGCAGAGCCGGAGCACGAGCTGTTCCTGGTGTACGGGAAGGGTCGCCCCGGCATCATCCGGGGCATGGACACGGGGGCCAAGGTGCCAGACGAGCACATGATCCCCATCGAGAACCTGATGAATCCCCGGGCCCTTGACTTCCACGCCGAGACGGGCTTCGTCTACTTCGCCGACACCACCAGCTACCTGATCGGGCGCCAGAAGATCGACGGGACGGAGCGCGAGACCATCCTGAAAGATGGTACGGGCCGGGGGGGCGGCCCTTGGGCTCTGCCAGCGCACGGCCCAGCGAAGGCAACGGGGGACCCTCCCCTCTGGCTCCGGGGGGGCGCTGGCTTCAGGCCCGGGATTGCCAGGAGGACAGTGCGTCTTCCTTTCTCCACCCCCAGGAGGTGGCCCTGGACAGATCTGAGCCTGAGGGCTGCTGCTGTTATTCCCCCCCCCCCCCCCCCGAGGGTGTCCCAGGAGCACGGGACTCGCCGGACTGGATTGGACCAGGGTCCGTCTAGCTGAGCGCCCTGTCCCCCAGCAGTGGCCAGCCCCAGCCGCTGCAGAGGGAGGGGGCTGAAACCCTGCAGTTTACGGGCTAACCTGCCCGCCAGAGGCATTTCCTCCTGACCACCCTTCAGCTAGGTCAGGTCATGCCCTGGAGCATGACCATGAGGAACCTCAGGGAAACCTGCCTGGGGAGCCAGCCTGTATTAGGTATCTGGCGTTGCTAGGAGACCACCCCACCTGCCCTGAGCGAAATCCTGCACCCCCTTTAGCGGACGGGCTCCTGCTAAGCAACTCATTTCGGTCCCTCACGTGGTTGCTACACAGCAGGTTTTTCTGTGTTGGCTCCTGCGTCTCCTGCCTAGCGGTAAAGCCGGCCCAGCTCACCGGTGGAGTGTTGCAGCTTGCATTAGTGACAGTCGCACGCCAGCCCTCCCCGGGCACCGTGACACAACATAGCGCTCCCCAGGCCAGGCAGGCGACGGGCCCTGGGACTGCCAAAGTGACCCGTTGGCTTAGAATGGGAACTGGAGGGTGGCGAGCCGGGCCCGGCGCGATGCTGCAGGTGGAATTCCCCATGGGTAGGGATGGATCCAGGTCCTTTCCTTGGGGCTTTGTTTGGTGGCTAATCCAAGCAAGCGCCAGGATGCGTACGGGCCTGTCGCATTCACTTGGCCTCTCTGCCTCCGGCACGTCCTCGGCCAGCTGGCGGGGGTTTCTGAATCGTGGTCTCTCTCCCACGCAGGCATCCACAACGTGGAAGGGATCGCCGTGGACTGGATGGGGAACAACCTGTACTGGACGGACGACGGCCCCAAGAAGACCATCAGCGTGGCGCGGCTGGAGAAGGCCGCCCAGACCAGGAAGACGTTGATCGAAGGGAAGATGACTCACCCTAGGGCCATCGTGGTGGATCCCTTGAATGGGTGGGTGGCGGTGAATGGCTCCGGAAGTGCAGGGCCCTGACCTCTGCTGGGGTCTGTGCAGTGCCTGGCATGACGGGGCCCTGATCTCGGTCGGGGTCTGTGCAGCGCCCGGCACAACCATCTAGTCCAACTCCCGCGTGACCCAGACTAGAAAATTTCACTCTGGCGATTCCCACAGCGAGAGAAGAACCATCCTTCCCTCCTGCCTGCTTCTGCCCAGCTGTGCCCGCCTGGCTGTTCCCCCTGGCTGTGCCATGCTCCGCGAGAGGAGGCCGCCTGGCCGCTCGCACAGAACATCCTGCTTGTGGGAATGGTTCAGACAGGCCCTGCGGCGGGCGGGGGAGCAGAATGGCAATGTGCACGCGCTTGTCATGGGCTCACCCTGCCGTGGGGAAACGGGGGGGGGGGGGGGCAGACATTTAGCCCCAGCGGCCTTGACAGATGTCGCGCTTCCTCCTGCCAAAGACAGCCCCTCCTCCCCCCCAGGAACAGTCGGCTGCCTGTCAGAGCAGGAATCTCCCGCACCGTGGGCTGGCTCAGGGTTTCCCTTTGGCAGCGGGAAGAGCCAGCCAGAGGCCCTGACCCCAGAGGACTCCAGCCCTCCTGGGTGAGCTGGGCCTGTTGGAGCCGGGCCTGGCTGGTGGCATGAAACGACCCATCAGGCTCCCGCTCTGCTCAGCCCGGTTCTGACCCAGGAACGCAGCGAAGTGGGTCAGGGTCCCGGTGTCTGCCCTTGCATTGGCCCCTTCGCTCTCGGCGGGGAACGGGGCGAGAGCTGCCTGGGCGCCTCCATCCTTTAACCAGATGGAAATGAGCTTCTGGCTCCGAGGATCGACTTACTGGGGCCAGTGGCTCATGGGGCCGGCAGGAGAGGTCTTCCCGGGGCTTGTGATGAGGTGCTGGGTGGTGGGGAAAAATTCACGCTGAAAATACCCGCCCGCAGTGCCGCTGGGGAGGGGCGTCCGGCCGCTGCTTGGGACAGAGACCTAGTGAACTGTCTTAGCAGCTGTAGGCCCCGGCTGAGATCAGGGCCCCATACCTGGGGAGCTCACGGTCTAAATAGACTGAGGGTGGGCGGGGAAACTGAGGCACAGAGCGAGGAAGTGTCTTGGACCACTCTCACCCAGCAGGCCAGCGGCAGAGCCAGGGATACAATCCAGGCCTTCCTGCGTCGCCAGCCAGTGCTCTACCCACTAGGCCACGCTGCCTGACGCCCCTCTCTCTCTCTCTCTCTCTCTCTCTCTCTCAGCTGGATGTACTGGACCGACTGGGAGGAGGACCCGAAGGACAGTAAGAGGGGCAAGATCGAACGGGCCTGGATGGACGGCTCCAACCGCAACGTCTTCATCACCTCCAAGACGGTGCTGTGGCCCAACGGGCTGAGCCTGGACATCCCGGCCAAGGTCCTCTACTGGGTGGACGCCTTCTACGACCGCATCGAGATGATCTTTCTGAACGGCACCGAGCGCAAGGCGAGCGGACGCCCCCTCCTCCCCTCTGGCCGGCCGCGATGGCCTTCCCGTTAAGGATGCGTTTGCCGGGAGGGAGCTCAGGGATAACTTTCGCCCACTGATCCCTCCCACCCCTTCACAAAATGTCCGTGGGCTCACTCCATCCCCTCTCCATAACAGCATCACCCCGTCTCCTGCCCCAGCACTCCGGATCCCAGCGTCCCATCTCGCTGGTCCCTCGAGCGTCCGTCTGCTCTGCGGCCCCCAGCCTCCTTGAGCCCAGAATCCTGTTCATCTGCTCTGCCCAGCAGGGGGGCCAGGCCGGCTTCCCCCCCCCGCCCGAGCTGCCCCTTTTTCCTTAACCCTCCCGCTCCCCGGAGCTGGGCTCCCTCTGTCTCCCCCGGACCAGGACGAGCCATGTTCTCTCTCCCCCCCCATGCAGATTGTCTACGAGGGCCCGGAGCTGAACCACGCCTTTGGGCTCTGCCACTACAGCAGTTTCCTCTTCTGGACGGAGTACCGGAGCGGCAGCATCTACCGGCTGGACCAGGCGTCCAAGGCCGTCACCCTGCTGCGCAACGAGCGCCCGCCCATCTTCGAGATCCGCATGTACGACGCCCAGCAGCAGCAAGGTACGGGGCGGGGGCGGGGTGTGTGTGTGTGCAAAGGGCCTGGTGCTCTGTCACCCTGTGGCGCGGGCAACCGCTCGCCCTGGTGCACAGGCAGCGTGAAATGGTGCGATCGACCGCAGGGGGGCGCTGGGCCCTGGCGGGGAGCCCGCTGCCCTTGCTCCGTCCCAGGGCAGGCACCGGAGGGAACCGGCTGGGACTTCGGTGCTTTCTCTCTCTCTGCCCCTAGGTCCCGGCCATACCGGGAGGGGGCCTTGTCTGAAAGAGATCCTGATGTGGGGCTGGGAGGTCAAAGCTGGAGGGGCCTCGGGCCACATCTAGGGCTCCTCAGTCTGGGTGCTGGGCCCCCCTGGATCCCTCCCTCTGCTCCCCGGCTGTCAGCCCCGGTGCTTTCTGCTCCCCTGGCCGCTGTTCTGCCTGCTTGTTCCTGCCCCCCGGGTGTTTCCCCTCCTGTCATTTCAGGCCACTGCCCCCCTGCAAAGGACCCCTGGGGCCCAGGCTGATCCACGCCTGGGCAGGGGCACGGTCGCCCCCTGCAGTCACCCCCCCCCCATGCCCTAGGGACCTGCTTCACCAAGGAGCGGAACACTAACCGTGCAAGGGGTCCTGCACAGCTCAGCAGGGCTTCGGTGCCTTGCTGAATTGGGCCTAGTTGTGGGTCCCGGTTTTCCCCAGGGGCTGAGCCCCCAGCAGCCCCCATTGCAGCCAGTCAGCCTCCCCCCCTTTCCCCCCGTCGTCTGGCTGTTCTCACTCCCTGCCTTGCCCCCTGCAGTGGGCACCAACGACTGCCGTGTCAACAACGGGGGCTGCAGCAGCCTGTGTCTGGCCATCCCCCGGGGCCGGCAGTGCGCCTGCGCCGAGGACCAGATCCTGGGCCCCGACTCCGTCACCTGCCAAGGTACGTTGCCACGGTGATCGCTAGGGGGCTGTGCCACTAGCAGTAACACCCCCCCTCTCTGGGTCATGCTTTCGAGTCCACCCCCGCCTTAGAGAGAACGGGTCTCCCAGCCGGTCCCACCCCATTGGAGTCAGTGGCTCAGGAGACCGGGCGCCCGTTCCCGGCTCTGCTGCTGGGGGACGTCGGGGACATCCCGGTACTGCTCCATGCCTCAGTTTCCCCGTCTGCCAGACACGTGTGTCAGACACAGACAGCGGGCAGGGAGGAGAAGGAGGCAGGCCGGTCCCAGCACAGGGCTGGGAGCCAAGACTTCTGGGTTCTCTCCCTGGCTCTGTGCCTCACCTGCTGCGTCGTCAGTTTCCTCGTCTGTGAAATGGGGACAAAGCTCCCCCGGTTTGGCTCCCCCTAAGCGCCCTCATGCAAAGCCTCATGGACCGGGAGCCTGGATCCCCGTCGTCCTGGGCCTCGGGCCACAAGGGTCGATCTCGGCTGCTCTGAGCCGGGGAGCGTTTCACCCTCCCCTCGTGCTGGTGGGAGCGACGCGGGAGGCCCAGGGCAGTGGAGGGAACCCAGGAGGGCCTCCCCGTGCGCTGCCGGCTGCAAAGGAAAAGGCCTTTGTCACAATCAACCCCCCTCTCCTGCTTTCTCCTCGGCAGCCAACCCGTCCTACGTGCCCCCTCCGCAGTGCCAGCCCGGGGAGTTCGCCTGCAAGAACAACCGCTGCATCCAGGAGCGCTGGAAATGCGACGGCGACAACGACTGCCTGGACAACAGCGATGAAGCGCCGGAGCTCTGCCGTGCGTAGGAGCCTGGGGGTCCGGGGAGTTCCAGCCGGGTTACACCGTCCTCCGCCACTGGGATGAACAGTGTGCGCCCCCCGCCTCCTGCCCTCACCCACTCCACAGCTCTTTCCCCAGAGAAACCCAGAGTTCGTGCTGGGCTCATGACCTGGTGGAGGTAGTGGTTACAGCAGGGGGTCAGGACTCCTGGGTTCTGTCCCCACCTCTGGGAGGGGCGTGGGGTCTAGTGGTTCGAGCAGGGGGGCTGGGAGCCAGGACTCCTGGGTTCTGTCCCCAGCTCTGGGAGAAGAGTGGAGTCTAGTGGGTAGAGCCGGGGTGGGGGTTGGAGTCAGGACTCCTGGGTTCTATCCCTGGCTTGGGGAGAGGAGTGAGGTCTAGTGGTTGCAGCGGGGGGGAGGGGGGCTAAAATGTCAGGACGCCTGGGTTCTATTTTCAGTCTGCCACTGTCTCCCTGTGTAACCTTGGGCAAGTCCCTTCCCCCCCTCTCTGTGCCTCAGTTTCCCCAAATGGGGCTAATTCCCAGGAGGGCTTGCAGCCCGGCTCCCTAGTGCTCAGATGGAGCCTGCGGGGGAGGAGAGGGGGTTTGTGCCCCAGGGTCCTGAGTCTCCTTTCCCTCCCCCGCCCAGACGAGCACACCTGCCCCTCGGACCGTTTCAAGTGCGAGAACAACCGCTGCATCCCCAACCGCTGGCTCTGCGACGGCGACAACGACTGCGGCAACAACGAGGACGAATCCAACTCCACCTGCTCTGGTGAGGAGCCCGTGTCCCCGGGGCGGCTCGGAGCCCAGGGCTGGAGAGCCAGTGCCCCGCAGACGCAGCCTCGTAGGGTGCTGGGCCTCCGAGCTGGGCCGCAGCCCGCCCGGGCGCTTAACCCTTTGTGTCCTGCACGGCCACGTGCAAACCGTGCTCAGGGCCTGACCTCGTTTGCAGGCTCACTGCAGCCTCAGCTCCTCCCCCTGCCCCCGCGGATTTGCCCCCAGGGTCACTGAAACGCCCTGTGTCTGTCTTGCCCCATGCCCAGCCCGGACCTGCCCCCCCAACCAGTTCTCCTGCGCCAGCGGCCGCTGCATCCCCATCTCCTGGACCTGCGACCTGGACGACGACTGCGGGGACCGCTCGGATGAGTCCTCCTCCTGCGGTGAGTGGGGGGAATGGGGCCTTTCCTCTCTAGGGGGCGCCAGCTCCGATCCGGCCCCAGGGCGGGGGACTGGCCGGCTTGGGGGGGCAGGAGGGAATAACAGGGCTCTGGTCCCAGTCCAGCTCCTCTTCCTGCTCGTCCGTCAGTTTCAGCAGGCGTCCTGGGGTCTGCAGCAGGGGCAGGGAGGGACCCGGCCGTTCTAGCTGCATTGCTGGAGGTGGGAGCAGATCTGGCGACGGGTGGTGGGGTGTAAGTGGACCCGGGGCCTCATGAGCCGCCCCCTGGCTGCTGGGGCTAGAAAGGCCCCTCCACACCGGGCAGGTTATTTCACCATGATCGGTGGTCCACCTTCCCCGGTGGCTGGGGCTGATCTGGCCCGGCACTGACGGGGCCCGTTCCCTTCTTCCCCGCAGCTTACCCCACCTGCTTCCCCTTGACCCAGTTCACCTGCAACAACGGGCGCTGCATAAACATCAACTGGCGATGTGACAATGGTGAGTGAGCTCCCCACGCCCGGGGGGCGCCACGCGGCGCCACGCGGCCACGGGGAGATCAGAAGCAGGGAGGTGCCCCTGCTGGAGCAGAGGCTGCTTTGGGGATTTCCTTGTGCTCTTTCGGCCCCAGATCCCTCCCCTCCCGGGCACCTGAATCCACCCGCGGGGCCCCCATGCGTAGGGACGTAGCTTGCGCTGGAAATGGACTTGCTTTGCAGCACAGGCCTCGGGTACCCCGCGACCCCCTCTCAGGATGCCCACGCTGGGCTCAGATAGAGTCGAAGCTCGGACTGGGCGCCAGTCCGGGCACTGCCACTGACTGCCTGGCGAGCCCTGGGCACATCCCCTGTCCTCCGCGGCCCAGGGATCTTCCCTGCGATGCAGGGCGAGGGACGCAGTGAGTGTGGTTGGACCGAGGCTTTGGCAGATGAAACCGCTTGGGAATGAGGCCAGGTTTGATCTTTAGGGGTCGCGCTTGCTTTTGGATTGTACAGAACCAGGTGGGTGCGTGGGTGTGCAGTGCAGGTGTGCATGTGTGTAGGTGTGTGTGCGGGTGTGCGTGCAAGTGGCTGGTCCGGTGCATGCGCGTGTGGAAGCATGTGTGTAGGTGTGCATGTGTGCGTGCAAGTGGCTGGTCTGGTGCACGCGTATGCATACGTGTGGGTGCATGTCTGTAGGTGTGCATGCGGGGGTGCGTGCAAGTGGCTGTGTGGTGCACACATATGCATGTGTGTAGGTGTGCATGCAGGTGTGCATGCAAGTGGCTGGTCCAGTCCACCAATGTGCATACGTGTGGGTGTAGGTATACATGTGAGTATGTGTGCAAGTGGCTGTGTGGTGCACGTGTGTACATACATGTGGGAGCGTGTGTGTAGGTGTGCGTGCGGGGGTGCATGCATATGGCAGGGTGTGAATGCGTGGGTGCATCCGGGTGTGCGTATACGCAGGGGGGTGGGTGCGTGCGTGTCGGGGGGTGTAATACGTACCCCAGGCTTTTGTAGGGGAGAAGCAGCTTGTCCCGTGCTCTGAGGCGCAGACAGGTTGGGGGGCAGAGAAATGTTTTAGCCAGTGGTTGTGGAGCAGGCCTGGGGGAATCCAGCGTAGCACCCCCCTGCAGCACCCCATTGGAAGCTGCGGGTCTGGGTGCAGATGCAGGGATCGGGGCCTCGCAGCCTCCGGCCGGTGCCGACAAGTTCCTGAGCAGCCGCGCATTGCGGGACGGGTTTGGGTTCTGAGGCAGGAGACGGGATTTGCCGCAGGGCTTTCCCCGGTTCATGTTTGTCGCCATAAGGACTCAGCAGCATTAAGTTTAATTAACAGGCCCGGAGCGGGCTAGGGGCAGGGGAGCTGGGGCTGCGTTTGCTGGGGTTTTGTGTGAAGACGCAGGCAGAGGGATCCCTTGATTCGTGGCAAACTGTTTTCCCAGGGCCGTAATTAACCAGCTGCCTCCCGTCCACAAGGCCGGCTCCGCCACCCTCAGGTGTTACCTGAGCTTACCACACACGGGCATCGGCCCAGGGGGCTGGGGCAGTTTCTGGGCATTGGAGCTCAGGGCCTTGGCATTTCTCATCACCCAGCCAGCTCCTTTTTGTCCTGCCCCCCAAAAGAACCCCTGCAGGGAGCCACATGGGGAGGGGACCGGGCGCCATCCACTGCTTCTGATCTCTCTCCCCCGTGGCCGTTTAATGTTCCCCTGTCGTCCGTGTCCGTCTGTCCAGCTCAGCGTGGCTCTGCCCGTCGGCGGCGGTTTTCTGTTGCTGTGTGTTTTTTGTTCTGTCTCTTCAATGTGCCCACTCGCCTGTCTTTTGTTGTTTTTTTGGTTGGTTTCTGTGTTTCAGAGAAGGATTGTGGGGATGGCTCTGACGAAAAGAACTGTCCAAAACCTACCGGTTAGTGCATAGATCAACATGTACCAGAACCCCCCTGCCACCTGTCCCCCAAAGCCTGCCACTTTGCTGGAGAGGGGGTCACATAACTCCAGAAAAGCCACGGTTCCTTGAGAAGTGAAGTTATCTGAACAATAGGAGATATCTCATCCGCCGCTCGCTTTGCATTAGGGGAAAAGGGTCTGAGGGAATTCGGCTGGAAATGGTTTTGAGGGGAGAGGTGTCCGTTTCCTTCCAAACGGATGTGACAGGCAGAAAGACACCAAAACAGAGAGAGACTTAAAGCCAGCGAAGGATGACGGCTGTGATCCAGCAAAGGCTGAGGGCTGTCTACACGGAGAGGGTTGTTGTTGGTTTTTTTGCACCACTTTAAATGCTATTAAATCAGTTCAGCTCAGGGAATCAGAGGGCTTGTCTACACGTGACCCGCTGCAGCGCAGACTCTACCTACGCTGACAGGAGAGGTTCTCCATCTCCCCGAGGGGCCGGGACCTCGCTCTGTCTACATGGCGACTTAACTACCTTCCCAGGGATGGGGATGTTTCACCCCCCGAGCCATGGAGCTGGGTTGATCGAACGTTCTAGCGTAGACGAGCCCGTACAGTCCCCATGACAGTAATATCTGAGCCACTCGCTGTCTCATATCCGAGACCACCCCCCTGCGAGGCAGGGCCATGTACTAATCCCCATGGCAGCTGGGAAACTGAGTCAGGGAGCAGCTAAGTGGCTGGCCCCAGGTCACACAGGGAGCCTGCGGTGGAGTGGGGATTTGAACTCGCGTCTCGTGAGCTGCAGGTTGGTGCCTAACCACTGCACCCTCCTTTCTCCGGCCACTGTCTTAGCCCAGATCCAGCATGTGCTCACTAGGGGCTTGCCCAGTGGTGCTGGATGGTTTATAAACCTGTTTTGTTCAGTCGACGCCGGAACTGTGCATCAACTGGGCCTTCCCTTCCGGGTGGGAGTTGGGCCGTCCCTGTGCACAAGAGATGCCAATAGACGTGCCGGCGTGCGATGAAATGGGGGAGGGACGTGCTGTGTCTTAGGTGTGTTAAGGTAGTGCACGAACAAAGAGGGAGAGACACCCAGTCTGAGTAGCGAAAGGTGGGAGGGGAAACTGAGTCACCGAGCGGGGCCGCAGCGGGGCCAGTTTGCCACTGTGAAGGTGACTCCGTGCCAGGCTCCTGGCAGAGCGTTTTAACCTCCGAACCGGTGTGAGAGCCCGCGGTTTTGAAGCTCCGTTCGGGACGGAACCAGACGACCCTCTCCTTAAAGTGGCAGTGCTCGGGAATTGGCTGTATCCAATCAAACTTCCCGTGGACACTCATTGCAAAGGGGTCCACGGACGTGCCACCTTCCCCCCATCCCGCCCCCCGCTGCGCGGCGGAGCCCCACCCCTTGCCCCCCATGGTACATGAGGTGATCTATGCAGTTTCTGTGCTTCGTTTTCTTTTTGTGGCTGTGACATTAGCGAGCATGTCGGGCTGGGGGGGGAGGGGGCTTGGGGGGAGGTGCTGTGGAAGGGGCCAACGGGGGGGGCCCGTCTCGCTCGGCCCCCCCCCCACCATGCTGTCAATGGAGCTGGCTCAGGTGGACCCCTGGCAGCTCCCAGCTCTGCTCTGCTGGGGGTGGTCCCCCCTCCCCCAGGGACACTGGGCCACGCTGCCCGGCTCTCTGTGCCTGCTGGCTGCCCGCTGACGTCCCCCTTCTTCCCCCCCCGCCTGCCCCGCCCAGACAACGACTGTGGGGACAACAGCGACGAGGCCGGCTGCAGCCACTCCTGCTCCAGCAACCAGTTCAAGTGCAACAGCGGGCGCTGCATCCCCGTGCACTGGACCTGCGACGGTGACAACGACTGCGGGGACTACAGCGACGAGACCCACGCCAACTGCACCAACCAGGGTGAGCCCCCACCTCCTGGAGTCCTGCCTGGCTCCCCCCCACGAGCACCAGCTTCGCACGGAGGCATGGGGGGGGGGGGCTTTCATGCTTAGGGCGCCCCCGGAGTCAGATCCCTCCCTACCCCGGACCCCGCACCCTGGGTGCCACATCTACTTGGGTGTCTGCTCCCAGAGCCCCTCCTCCCCTTGGGGGGCTGGACCCCAGGCATCAGATCCTGGGTGCCCCCCATCATTGGATCCTGGTCTTCCCCCTGCCCAGGTGTCAGATCCTGGATCCCACCGCCCCCCCGCCCCCAGCACTGGATCCCAGGCTCCCGTGTTGCCCCCTGGGTATCGCCCTGGGTGCCCAATCCGGCTCCCTGCCCCCCACTCCCAGGCGTCGGGTCCTGCCTGCCCCCCGGGCACCCAAAGCCCCCTCGCCGCCCGCGCCGGGTCCCGCCGTGGGGCGCGGCTGGTGATGCTCTGTCGCGTGGGCTCCGTTCCCAGCCACCCGCCCGCCCGGGGGCTGCCACACAGACGAATTCCAGTGCCGGCTGGACGGGCTGTGCATCCCCATGCGCTGGCGCTGCGACGGCGACACGGACTGCATGGACTCCAGTGACGAGAAGAGCTGCGAGGGCGTCACCCACGTCTGCGACCCCAACGTCAAGTTCGGCTGCAAGGACTCGGGTAACGGGCCCGGGGGGGGGGTCTCGATCCAGCCTGGGGGGTGGGGCGGGAGAGGGGACGCTAGATCCAGACATGGGAGGGGGGCAGGGGCCTTTCACCAGCCTCCCTTTGGATCCCCGCGGCACCCGGGTCTGGCATCCCTGGGCTCACGCCCCTGAGAACGGAGCTGCTCAAAACGTCTCTTTAAAATACCGATTGTGAGGACATTTGGCCTGGTTGGTTTTTGAACGTGATATTTTTAACCTCCCCCCTCCCCCCACCTTGATTTCCTTGAAATTTTCCATCTTCCGACAAATTTGGATGGAAACTGTTTTTCTGTCTCATTTTTTAAATGTTTTTTTCCCCAGAGTTTTTTTGGGGGGGGGGCCTCGTCGCCTTCCCGTTTTTCATTGGTCGGCTTAGCCAGAGGGCGGGAGATGTTTTAAACTCTCCATCCCGAATTGAAACATTTTCCTTTATTCATTTTTGTTTCCAATTTCTCCTTTTTCCTCCCCCCAAACTTTCAGAATTAAAACATTTTCGGTTCCCCTCCCTGTCAAAAACAGTTCAAACTTGGAACATTTTCCTTCCCCCAGTTTTCAAAATTCAACCTCCATCCCTCCCCGGTAACTGTCCAAACCGAACGACTAGTTGAAAACATTCAAACTTCCCAGTTGGGGCCAAAAAAAGAAACGACAGGTCGACAGGTCGTTCGCAAGGAAACAAGTGCTAGGGTGACCAGATGTCCTGTTTTTATAGGGACAGTCCTGATATTTGGGGCTTTGTCTTATATGGCTGCCTATTACCCCCCACCCCGTCCCGATTTTTCACACTTGCTGTCTGGTCACCCTAAGGATGAAAAAGAAAGAAAGGGAAAAACTGGGAGGGGAAACCAGTTAACAGCCAAGTGTTAAAATCAGAAACAGCACAAAATGAAACCGATCAGAGAGGAAAAGTCAAGAACAAAAGTGTATGACGCTAAATTAAGCTGTAATTAAAATGAATAATAATTAGTAAATATCTACAATTATTGACATGAATTTAATGCATTTAGTAACTCGCAGTAAGAGCCGGAATGTCCCCCCACAGCTGTGCTGTTGTGACTGTAATTTGGGGATATGGATCCTAGATGCAAGTGGTCCCCACCTCTGATGACAGCTCCCTGGGGAGGCGGGTCCAGGGCTGGGGCACCCATGCTTAGCACCCACCAGCCACTGCTGTTTGGTGGTGCCTCCAATCAGTTGTTTGGCGGCACACCCCTCCGCTCCAAGGGTGGGGGCGGGAAGAGGCGGAGCAAGAGCGGGGCCTTGGGGGAGGGGACAGAGCAAGAGTGGGCCCCCCGCATCCCTCCCCCGCTATGTTTCACGCCGCCCCCTCTCCCCTCCTGCCCCCAGCCCGCTGCATCAGCAAGGCCTGGGTGTGCGACGGAGACAGCGACTGCGAGGACAACTCGGACGAGGAGAACTGCGAGTCGCCGGTGTGCAAGCCGCCCTCCCACACCTGCGCCAACACCACCTCCGTCTGCCTGCCGCCCGACAAGTTGTGCGACGGCACCGACGACTGCGGCGACGGCTCCGACGAGGGCGAGCTGTGTGGTGAGCCGCGGGGGCGTCAGGACTCCTGGGTTCTAGTCCTGACTCGGGGAGGGGTCGAGTGGTTAGAGCGGGCGGGGAGCCAGGACTCCTGGGTTCTCTCGCCGAGGGGCCCCTGGCGCCGGGGGTGACCATGGCCACGCTCTCTCCCCGCAGACCAATGCTCTCTGAACAACGGCGGCTGCAGCCACAACTGCACGGTGGCCCCGGGCGAGGGCATCGTCTGCTCCTGCCCGCTGGGCATGGAGCTGGGCACCGACAACCGGACCTGCCAGATCCAGAGCTACTGCGCCAAGCACCTCAAGTGCAGCCAGAAGTGCGAGCAGGACAAGTACAACGTCAAGTGCTCGTGCTACGAGGGCTGGATGCTGGAGCCCGACGGCGAGAGCTGCCGAAGCCTGGGTGAGCGGGCAGCCGGGGGGGCTGGAGCCCGGGGAGCGGCACCGCCAGGCCCCCAGCATTCCAGGGGGCGATTGGCACGGGCGGGCAGGTCGAGGGCTGAGCCTGGTTCCCTCAGCATCCGGAGTAACACCCCAGCTGGAGGGAGCGCCTGTGTGCTCCTGTGTGCACCGCAGAGACGCCGGGGGGAAACCGGTGCCCGTTGTTCCTGTGTTATAACTGGGCACATGCCCCTTCCTGGCAGTGCGGCTCTGCCTGCATCCTGGCTGGCCCCAACCTCCCCTTGATGCCCCTTTTGCTCGCAGACCCCTTCAAGCCCTTCATCATCTTCTCCAACCGCCACGAGATCCGGCGCATCGACCTGCAGAAGGGCGACTACAGCGTCCTGGTGCCCGGCCTGCGCAACACCATTGCCCTCGACTTCCACCTCAACCAGAGCTCCCTCTACTGGACAGACGTGGTGGAGGACAAGATCTACCGGGGGAAGCTGCTGGAGAATGGGGGTTAGTGGTGGGAATGGACGCGGCCGCGCAAAACCCTGTGGCCGCCTCACAGAGCCACGTGCTATGGGGCACAGACGCACCTGGGGTAGGGCGGGGGCACATGGAATTTGAACTCTCCAGCTCCGGTTCCAAAGCTGTCACCTTGGCCCTGAATCTGGAGCAAGTATCCCACCGCTGACACCATTCCGTCACTGCGCCCCCTTCCAGCCGCCCACCAGATTGCTGTGAGGGGAACCCAACCCTCAGGGCCCCCGGGTGGTGTGAGCCTCCGGGAGCCAAGACAAGACAACGTAGCGGGAGCTGGGAGCAGGAATCTCCACCTGCAGGGCGGGGAGCTGCCTGTGGCTGGAGGGGACGTTGCAGAGGGAAATCCGTCCCTTGGAGCTAGTCCTTACCCTCCCCCAGCCCCGGGGGGCCGTGCCATGGCTAGAGCATTCAGCTCCAGATAATGATACCTTTCTGCCTTTAACTGCTGATCGTTATGTGGGAGTTAATTAGCATTCCCAGCAATTCTCTAATGGTAATTACAACCCCGCAGCTGAGCGTGCTGAAAGCTCGTCCTAACCCGATTAGCGCCTTTGGGAGCCTGAAATTCCATGGGGAGAGAAACCCGGGGCTCGGGGTGCAGGGCCCCAGGGACGGGGGGTTCTCCAGTGACTCAGCTCATGGGGCAGAAGGCCCACAGCTCAGCTCCTTGCTTTGGCCTCAGGACGAGGGGCCGGGTTTTCCCCAGGGCTTGAGAGAGTCTGAAAACCAGGCCACAAGGGGCCCTTCGGGGCTGTGGGTCGGGACTGAGGGGCACCGCAGAGCTGGGGGGGAGCCCAGGGCCGGGATATCGGGGGCTGCGGGTGGGGCCTGAGGGGCTGCGGGTGGGGACTGAGGGGCACCGGCAGAGCTGGGGGTGGGGTGGCAGGGGCTGCGGGTGGGGACTGAGGGGCACCGGCAGAGCTGGGGGTAGGATGGGATTTTGCAGCAGAGGCTTCACGTTGCTTTTGGAAGCTGTCCGTGGGGGGAGCTGAGCCCCCTCTGGGCTCCTGGCGGCCAGCGGGGAGGAGATGGGGGGCCGGGCCTTAGCCCTGACGGTGCCGCGCTCCCTGCCCTGTCCTGCAGCTCTCACCAGCTTCGAGGTGGTGATCCAGTACGGGCTGGCCACGCCCGAGGGCCTGGCCGTGGACTGGATCGCCGGCAATATCTACTGGGTGGAGAGCAACCTGGACCAGATCGAGGTGGCCAAGCTGGACGGCACCATGCGCACCACGCTGCTGGCCGGGGACATCGAGCACCCGCGCGCCATCGCCCTCGACCCCCGATACGGGTGGGTGGGGGGGCCGCCAGGGGGGGCAGGGGCGGCCCCTGGGTCTGGGTGAGCTGCAGGGTGGCCGAGCGCCCCTGGGCCCTGCCATGGAGCCCCAGTCAGAGCCGGGCGCTAGTGGGGGGGCACCTGGAGCTGGGAGGGTTTTGGGGGCGGGGCGTTGCCATGGCAATACGGAGATGACTCACCCGAAGCTGCTGGGGCCCCGGTTGATGGGAGGTTAGCGACCGCCCTGAGAACGGGGGGGAGGGGGGTCACCCTGCCCCCCTCTGGCCCAGATACAGGGGTGATTGGCTCCCCCCCAGAGCCACGCTCCCCCTTCCCCTCTGCCCCCCTCGCCAGCGACAGGCCCTCTGACGCCCCCCTCCCCCCCCCCCCCCCCCAGCATCTTGTTCTGGACGGACTGGGACGCCAGCCTGCCCCGCATCGAGGCAGCTTCCATGAGTGGCCAGGGCCGGCGCACGATCCACAAGGAGACGGGCTCGGGGGGGTGGCCCAACGGCCTGACCGTCGACTATCTGGAGAAACGCATCCTCTGGATCGACGCCAGGTAACCCGGGGGCGGGGGCGCTGGGGGCCCAGGAGGGGGATCCCGGGGGGAGGGGGCGCGGGGAGCCCGGGGAGGGGGTTTCCAGGGGAGGGGGCGCCGGGGGCCCGGGGATCCCGGGGGGAGGGAGGTGTGGGGCGCCCGGGAGGGGGATCGTGGGGGGCAGAGGGATCCCGGGGGGAGGGGGCATGGGGAGGAGGATCCCAGGGGAAGCGGGCACGGGGCGCTGGGCTGTACCCCACAATCTGCCAGCCCCTCGCTCCGCCCAGCCCCGGCTCCAGCCTCACGCCGTGCCCTCGCCCCGTGACGGCGCAGGTCGGACGCCATCTACTCGGCGCTGTACGACGGCTCGGGGCACATGGAGGTGCTGCGGGGCCACGAATACCTGTCCCACCCCTTCGCCGTCACCCTGTACGGCGGCGAGGTCTACTGGACCGACTGGCGCACCAACACCCTGGCCAAGGCCAACAAGTGGACAGGCCACAATGTCACCGTGGTGCAGAGAACCAACACGCAGCCCTTCGACCTGCAGGTCTATCACCCGTCCCGCCAGCCACTGGGTGAGACGCCGAGGCCGCCGTGGGCAGGGGACGCGGCCGGGGAGAGCCCCGGGGGCCATGTGGTTAGTGGGGGGGATGTTCGGGGGGAGGGGTGCAGAACAGTGGGCAGCTTGCATCTGGTGGAGCATTGCATGCTGGGAGCTGTAGTCTCATGGCTTGCATCCATTCTGGGAGCTGTAGTCCTGTAGCATGAATCTGAGGGAAGCATTGCAGGCTGGGAGCTGTAGTTCCATGGCTTGCATCCTGGGGGAACATTGCATGCTGGGAGCTGTGGTCCCATGGTTTGCCTCCAGGGGGACATTGCATGCTGGGAGCTGTGGTCCCATGGCTTGCATCCAGGGGGACGGGTGGAGCATTGCATGCTGGGAGCTGTAGTCCCATGGCTTGCATCCATGGGAAGCATTGCATTCTGGGAGCTGTAGTCCTGTAGCGTGAATCTGCAGGAAGCATTGCAGGCTGGGAGCTGTAGTCCCATGTTTCGCAGCCTGGGGGAGCATTGCATGCTGGGAGCTGTGGTCCCATGGCTTGCAGCCAGGGGGACATTGCATGCTGGGAGCTGTGGTCCCATGGCTTGCAGCTGTGGCCAGCAGAATCGTGATCAAAGCCCCCCACGACACCCCGTCTCTTTTGCTGGGCCTGGCTGTCTGTTGCCCTGGCCCCATCATGCCGCTGGTGCAGAGAGCGCCCCCTAACTGGCACTGGCTGCCGGCGTGTTGACATGAGCGACCCCGGAGAATGGGGCCCAGTGGGTCTAGGGAGCCGGAGTCACTGGGCTTGGCGTCGTGGGCCCCCGGCACCGACTCCGATGGGATCAGGAGAGGGAGCTGCACCCCCAGCCCCTGCGCGGACGGGCTGGTATCCCAGCCGGCGTCAGCGTCCCTGTCCCGTCCCTCGGGGCGCAGGGACCAGGCCCGTCCTGGAGGGGCTCCTCACTGACTTCCCTCTGCTCTCCCCCTCGGCCCAGCTCCCAACCCCTGCGAGGCCAACGGGGGCAAAGGGCCCTGCTCCCACCTCTGCTTGATCAACTACAACCAGTCCTCCTCCTGCGCCTGCCCCCACCTCATGAAGCTGGACAAGGATAACACCACGTGCTACGGTAGGTGGGGCCCCTTGGAGCGTCCGGGAGTGCTTGGCCACCCCCCTCCCCCCGCCCCCATGGGGCCCACTGTGACCCCGTATACAGAGCAGGAAACAGCCTTGCCTAAGGTCACTCAGTAGGATCAGGAATAGAACCCAGGAGTCCTGGCTCCCAGCCCCCCTGCTCCAACCCACCAGACCCCACTCCCCTCCCAGAGGCGGGGATAGAACCCAGGAGTCCTGGCTCCCAGCCCCCCTTCTCCAACCCACCACACCCCACTCCTTTCCCAGAGTTGGGGAGAGAACCCAGGAGTCCTGGCTTCCAGTCCCTCCTGCTCTAAGCAGTGGACCTCACTGTCTTGGCGGTTCCAGACAAGCTTTTGGTGAAGGGATGCGAGGGGCACATAGCGTCTCAGGGAATGGTGGGGGGAGGGAGGGAGGGAAATATCTGTGGCAGGGGTCAGAGGTGGGGGGAGTGGTGAGGGGGATCGATGAGGTTGTGGGCAGGCAGGAGGAGCAGGTGGGGTGTGGTTGTGAGGGGGGTCAGGGCGGGGGGAGATTGGTGGTGGGGGAGTGGTTATGGGGGAGCGGGACACGGGCTGGGCCGGGGGCGGGGCAGGACGAGTGGGGCGTGGGCTGGGCCAGGGGCAGGTGGGGTAGGGGGAGTGGGGCGCGGGCTGGGCCGGGGGCGGGTTGGGCAGGGGAAGTGGGGCATAGGCTGGGGCGGGGAAGGGGCAGTGGACCAGCGGTAGGGGGAGCGGGCTGTAGGCTGGGCTGGGGCCGGGGTGTAGGTTGGGCCGGGGGGGGGGGGGGGGGGGGGGGCAGGGGCGGGGGGGGGGGGGCGGGGGGGGGGGCGGAGTAGGGAGAGCAGGGCGCAGGCTGGGCCCAGGGCAGGTTGGGCAGGGGGAGTGGGTTGCGGGCAGGGCAGGGCAGGAGGCGTGGATCTCCGATGGGCAGCTGCGGTCATCCCTCCGCCCCTCACCCCGTCTCTCGCGCCCCAGAGCTGAAGAAGTTCCTGCTGTACGCGCGGCAGATGGAGATCCGGGGCGTGGACATCGACAACCCCTACTACAACTACATCATCTCCTTCACCGTGCCCGACATAGACAACGTCACGGCCGTGGACTACGACGCCCCGGAGCAGCGCATCTACTGGTCCGACGTCCGCACCCAGACTATCAAGCGGGCCTTCATCAACGGCACCGGCGTGGAGACTGTCGTCTCGGCAGGTGGGCGGGGGCCCAGGCCGGGCGGGGCCCCTCCCTGTGCCATGGGGCAGCCCTGCAGCCCCCATTGCTCTGAGCTGGAGGGCAGTGGGGTGCCAGCCCCAGGGGGCCTCTCCCCCCTTTAACCGGCCCCTTTCCTTCCCCCTGCGCTTGGCGCTGCCCCGTAACGACTCTCCCGTGCCCGTTGCCTTGCAGACCTGCCCAACGCTCATGGCCTCTCTGTGGACTGGGTTTCCAGAAACCTCTTCTGGACCAGCTACGACGCCAACCGGAAGCAGATCAACGTGGCCCGGCTGGACGGCTCCTTCAAGAACGCCGTGATCCAGGGACTGGAAAAGCCCCACTGCCTGGTGGTTCACCCGCTCCAAGGGTGAGCCGCCGAGGGAGATGGGCCCAGGGCTGGGGGGCATGAACGCACCATGGGAAGGGGGGCGAAGGGTGCGCAGGGCGGTCGTGTGTGTGGCTGGGCCCTGGCTTTCTGGGGTTGTGGGTCCCGGGGGGGGTAAATCGAGAGGACCCTCAGCTGTATCAGGAAGAGAACAGAAGGGCTGACCTGAGCCTCTCCGTGGGGACAAGAGCTGGGCTACCAGGGGCTGTGGGTCTGGAGTGAGGGGCACCGGCAGAGCTGGGGGTGGGGAGCCCAGGGCTGAGCTAGCAGGGGCCGTGGGTCAGGATTGAGGGGCATTGGCAGAGCTGGGGGTGGGGAGCCCAGGGCTGGGCTAGCAGGGGCTGCGGGTCAGGAGTGAGGGGGACCGGCAGGGCTGGGGGGAGCCCAGGGCTGGGCTGGCAGGGGGCTGCGGGTCATGGTTGCACATGGGGCGAATTGATTTGAGCTCTGATCCCAACCCCCCCCACCCATGTCTGTCTTGTGCAGGAAGCTCTACTGGACGGACGGGGACAACATCAGCATCGCCAACATGGACGGCAGCAACCGCAGCTTCCTCTTTACGAACCAGAGAGGGCCTGTCGGTACGGACACCACCCCCCCCCCCCGCGAACAGGGTCACCCCCTTCCCGTCTGTGGGGTGACAGCTGGGGAGGGGCTCAGGGCCACCCGAGCCCATCCCTCTTCTCTTGATGTCCCATTTCCTGCCAGCCCTTCCGGGGCCCACTGGGCCTCGTACGGGTCACGGGTCCCTGCTCCCTGCGTGCGGGGACCGGTGGCCATTTTGTGCCAGGTGCGGCGCAGACCGCTGGGACCCCCTCTGGTGCTGCCACTCTCTGCCCATGGAGGGAGCTAACGGCGCCTCCCCCCCAGGCCTGGCCATCGACTACCCGGAGAACAAGCTCTACTGGATCAGTTCCGGCGCCGGCACCATCAACAGGTGCAACCTGGACGGCAGCGGCCTGGAGGTCCTGGAGACCATGAAGAGCCAGCTGAGCAAGGCGACCGCGCTGGCCATCATGGGTGAGAGCCGGGGGGACGTGGGACCCCCATAGCCGGTGACTCACCCCCCATCTGCCTCCACCCCTGTGCCTGGAGTGGAGGGTCCTGGGGCACGATAGGGTGGAGCCTGGGGGATGATGGGGTGGGGGTGGAGCTGGGGGAACTGGGGGATGAGGGGGTGGAGCCGGGGGATATTGAGGATGTGGGAGCTGGGGGACCCAGGGGATGAGGGGGCAGGGGTGGGGCTGAGGAGGTGGAGAAGGGGGGAACTGAGGGATGGGGGGGTGGAGCCGGGGGATATTGAGGGGGTGGGGGCTGGGGGACATTTCCCCGTTAGGAAGCAGCCTGAGCCCCTCGTCCCCCAGATGGTTGCAGGCAGGGGGTGGAGCCCGGCTGCCCGCTGGAGGCTGGCGCTGCTGCCGGGCCCTGGGGTGGGCGCTGGGCTGGGGGCAGCGGGTGCGGTGCTGAGTCCCCGGGCCCCTCCCCTGGCAGGCGACAAGCTGTGGTGGGCAGACCAGGCCTCGGAGAAGATGGGCACCTGCAACAAGAAGGACGGGACGGGGGCCGTCGTCCTGCGCAACAGCACCACGCTGGTCATGCACATGAAGGTCTATGACGAGAGCGTCCAGCACGGTGAGAGAGCCGGGGAGGGGGGAGGTGCGGCCCCCCGGGGAGGGGGCAGGGAGGTGGGAGGAGAGGCCCCCCCGGGAGGGCCCTAAGGGCGAAGACCTGGCCCAAGTACAGGAGCCGGCAGGCCCAGGCAGCCAACCTGGGTTATTTGGAGAACTCTGGTGATTTGGGCGCCTGGCTCAGGTTTTCTTGCCGTGGGGGGTTGTGGGGGCGATGCTGCAGCCGGCTCCGCTCTGTGGTGGGGGATTGATGTGTGGGGCCTGGCACTGCCAGGGGTCCCTGGGCCCCGCTGCTGGCTGGAAGCGCCCAGCACCAGCCCCACCTGGTGCTGGGATCTGGGGGTTGCTGTGTCCGTCCAGTTCCCCGGCTGAAAGCCCCGTCCCCCGTCGTGCCGATGCTGGTGCAGGCGGGTGCCCTCTGGCCGGCTGGCGATGGCTCTGGCGGCGTGTGGCCGAGCGAGCAGGTCCCTGGACGGGAGGGGGTGTCTCAAAGCACTTATGGGTCAGATCAGGCTCTGCCTTGGCCACGCGGAGCAAACCCAGGCCCCCGGCCGCCCCTGACCCGCTCCCTTCTCTCGCCCAGGCACCAACCCCTGCAGCGTGAACAACGGCGACTGCTCGCAGCTCTGCCTGCCCACCTCGCCCACCACCCGCTCCTGCATGTGCACCGCCGGCTACAGCCTCAAGAGCGGGCAGCAGTCCTGCGAAGGTGAGTCCGCCTCCCCCTGCCCCCCACGCCCTGGCACCGGGCTGTCCTGCTGTGCGCCGCGCGGCTGCCCTCTGCTCGGGCGCGGGGCGTTTCCTCCCGGCTTCCGCGTGGTGCGGCCTGTGCGCAGACGTTCGCCAGCCCAGTCTGATGGCCAGGGGAGCGGAGGAGAGATGCTGGTGTTTGCCCGGTGGCGGGGCCTCCTTCCCGGTCCGGCTCCCGTGGAGCGGGGCAGACGTTCGCTCAAGGAGGGGCACAGGGGACTGTAGCTTCTCACTGTGAGCGAGGGCTGGAGCAGCCCCCGGGAAGTGAGACACGCCAGGAGTTTGCCGCTGAGCGAGGAGGAGATGGAGGCGCCTGGGCTCATCCCTCCCTGGCCTCGGGGCCGGCCGGTTTCCCTTCCCCTTCCCCAGGCCTCGCTCCCCGCTGGCTTCTCCCCTCCGTTCCCCATTCTCCCGGCGAATCAAGCGCTGCCACTGGCCTTGCAGCGAGGAGCCCATGTCGGGCGGGAGGGCCAGCAAGCGGTGGGCGTGGGGGTTGGGGGGACACGCGCCAGGGCTTACCCAAGCAGCGGGGGACGGGAGATGGGGCTGGTTTCCAGAAGGGGCTGAGCGCCTGTCCCCCAAGAGCCAGGCCCTGCTAAGGCATCTCAGCCTGGGTGTCTGCAGAGCCCAGGCACGCGGGAGCTCTGCCCAGGGGGTTCGGGCCCAGGTCCTGATCGCTCCTTCCAGCAGCTCCCCCCGGCCAGCGCTCTCCAGTGTCACTCCACGCCTCCCTTTTTGGGATCCCTTTTGGGGCTCAGCCTTGTCTGAAAAATCCAGGTGTTTAAAGGGGGCTTCAGTCGAGCCCCCAGAATGGCCTGTCGCTCCTGAAACTCTTGGCTTGTGGGTTGACGTCCTGCCTGCGAGCCCTGTAGGCTGGGAACGGCGCAGGATGTGCAAGGGCAGACGGGCGAATTCAGCCTGCAGCCGCTGGAGACTGGCGCTTGGTTATACCAGCAGCAGCTGGGTGGTGCTGGCAGGGGGTGGCTGGGTGCTGGGGTGGGGCGAATGGCTGGGTGCTGGTGATGGGGAGGTGTCAGAGAGCACGGTGAGGAGGGGAATGTGATCCCAGCGACAGGGCCCAGCCTGGAGCCAGGATGAGCCGGGGAGGAGATAGCTCGGCTTAGCCGGATCCCCAGCCCAAGGGCAGTGGGTCAGGCTCTGAGCTCAGTCGCTTGGCTGTGGGGGCTGCTGAGAGCCCAGGGTCCCCCCTTGCCCGCGGGTACGGCTGGAATAACGGGGGGGATAGGGGGGTCCTTCCCACCTGCATGGAACTGCGCCCCCACGGAGCACTGAAATCACCCCCAGGCGCTCGCGGGTTGTCAGCATAGACGTGTTCCATTGCAGCCGCTCGGGCCCGTCAGCTCAGCCCCACAAGCACCATCTGCACCCCTGGGAGGCAGAGAGAGGGGTGTCCTGGCCACGCAGCCCACTGTGCCCCACATCTCTCGCTCCCCCTCCTCCCGCCTGCGGAGCTAAACCCGTGACAGCTGCCTTCGCTCTCGCCCACGGCTCCCATGCGTCAGTTGACCCAGCGTGCCAGGAGGTGGGCGTGGGGGGGGGGGAGGCACGTGTGGTTATGCCTCATGCTGCATCTGACCCAGTACAACACACACACACACACACACACACACACACCAGCCTCGGTGCTGCCGGGAGTCCCTTCTCCATGGCTCTGCTCAGCCCTCGGGAAGCCGCTGCCTTTTCCCCACAGCCCAGCGGCTCCCTGGCTCCCCTGCACTGGCAGAGACCCCTGACTGTCCCCTTCCCTTCACAGGCGTGGGCTCCTTTCTGCTGTACTCGGTGCACGAGGGGATCCGCGGCATCCCCCTGGATCCCAACGACAAGTCCGACGCCCTGGTGCCCGTGTCTGGGACCTCGCTGGCCGTGGGGATCGATTTCCACGCGGGTGAGAGCCGCCGTGCGCTGCTCTTCGGGCACCAGCGACACGGTCTCCTCGTAGACCAGGCTTCGGGCCCGACCGGAGATTGGATGGGAGACAACGTCCCTCCCTGCTGCCAGGCAGTGCCGAGAGCCAGGACTCCTGGGTTCAGTGCCCGGCTCAGCCGCTGACCGAACGGGGGAGTCCCTTTGCCGCTCTGTGCCTCAGTTTCCCCCGTGGCATGATGGGGATGGCGACGCCAGGGTGGGCAGGGCGGCTGAGCTAGCTGGGGAAAAACTGGGAGGCGCTGGAGATGCGGAGCGGCGTCGCTGGGCGGCCCTTGCCCCCACCCTCTTCAGCTCTGGAACAGCGGCCGATAGGCGTGAGGTTTAACGAGGCTGTAGCCAGAGCCTCGTCCCCAATCCCTATAGCCCCTCAGCGCCCCCCGCCCCCCGTCTCTGCAGCCCTGCCCAGTATCCTGTTTCTGGCATGTCTTCCCCATTGCGTGAGCGCCCCCAGCTGGTGAGATTTGTGCAGGACACTGCCTGCCTGACCCCCCGCCCGCTCTGCTCCCTAGAGAACGACACCATCTACTGGGTGGACATGGGCCTCAGCACCATCAGCCGGGCCAAGCGCGACCAGACGTGGCGGGAGGACGTGGTCACCAATGGGATCGGGCGCGTGGAAGGCATCGCGGTCGACTGGATAGCAGGTGAGGCGCGTCCATACGTCCCCCGGGCTCCGGCCCTGCGGGGAGGGGAGCCACGTGCTGGCACGGCCGGGAGTGGGGTCTGGCTCACAGCGCGTCACTGTCGCCCGCCCCAGGAAACATCTACTGGACGGACCAAGGCTTCGACGTCATCGAGGTGGCCAGGCTGAACGGGTCATTCCGCTACGTCGTCATCTCGCAGGGGCTGGATAAACCTCGGGCCATCACGGTGCACCCGGAGAAAGGGTGAGGCGCCCGCGGGGGGCCGGCTGCCCTGGGAGCGGAGCAGCCTGGATTGGACTAGATGAAACCTCTACAGGCCTCAGCCCCCGGGGTCGGGCTGGGAGCCAGGACTCCTGGGTTCAGTTCTTAGCTCTGGGGCAGGAGTGGGGTTTAGTGGCTGGGGTGGGGGGAATTCGGAGTCGGGGCTCCTGGGTTCTGTGCTTGGCTGCTGGGGGTCCTTTAATTACAGGACTCCCCAGCATTGGCTCTAGTGTGGTCAGGACTCCTGGGTTCTATCCCCAGTGCTGGGGGAGAAGTGGGGTCTAGTGAATTAAAGCAGGGGGGCTGGGTTCTGTGCCCAGGTCTGGGAGGGGACTGGGGTCTGGTGGGTTAGAGTGGGGTGGGGGTGACTAGGAACCAGGACTCCTGGGTTCTCTCCCCAGCTCTGGGAGGGGAGTGGGGTCTGGTGGGTTAGACCAGGTGCAGGTGACTTGGAGCCAGGACTCCTGGATTCTCTCCCCAGCTCTGGCCCTGACTTCATGCAGAACCTTGCCCCACCCCAAGGATCAGGCCCAAAGCGGCTGGTGCTTCTTGGTGCCCGATTTGTGATACTCTGGGCCTTGTTTTCAGAGGTGCTGAGCCCCCGCAGCTCCCCCTGACTGGCAGCACCTCTGACAGTCCCACCCGGGGCTCCCAAAACCACTGGCTGCTTTCAGGGACATTGGCTTGAGGGACCTGCCCTGAGCCATGGAGGGGGGATCCGATGTCAGACGTGGGGTGAGCCCCTGGACTGCCAGACACCCAGGCCTACCCCTCGGCTGCAACAAGCCGCTTCTCCTCCAGGCATCCAGGACCCCAAAGGTTGTGAGAGCGCCAGGAGTCAGGGGAAGGGGGCGATCCAAGGGTGAGGGGCATGTGCACAGCGGGGTCACTGGCGAGCCGTGCTCGGTGTCCCCACAGGTACCTGTTCTGGACAGAGTGGGGCCAGTACCCCCGCATCGAACGCTCTCGCCTGGATGGGACAGAACGGATGGTCCTGGTCAACGTGAGCATCAGCTGGCCCAACGGGATATCGGTCGACTACCAGGTACGGCGGCCGCCCTTCGCTGCGGCGCTGGTAATGGATGCAGGCGGGTGTATAGGAGCAGCTGTCGGGTCAGGTGGATCTGAGCTACAATGGCCCATCCCAGGAGGGGCAGAGGATACCAGGCGTGCGGCAGTTATCAGTGGGTCGGGACCACCCAACATGCAGCCGTCACCCTGCAGTGGGAGGGACTGGAGGGCTGTGGAGCTCTGACTGCAAAGCCATACGCAGCTGGGGCACTCGGATCTCGGTCCATCCTGCTGACCGGCTCGGTCCCATTGTTTCCTGGTGCTGCCCTGTGTCTCTGCATCCGTGTCCTGTATGTCTGTGGGGCGGGGACCTGGGCTCCTGCTGTGCGGCTTTGCTCTTCCAACTGCGGCGTCCCAGCGCTGAGCCCCCGATGGAGACGTGCATGCTCCCTCTTCTCTTTCCCTCCCCCTCCGCCCCGCTGAGCTGTATCCCACCGGGGTGCGTTGCCTCCCCCTCCAGGACGGGAAGCTGTACTGGTGCGACGCTCGGACGGACAAGATCGAACGCATCGACCTGGAGACGGGAGAGAACAGGGAGGTCGTCCTGTCCAGCAACAACATGGACATGTTCTCGGTGTCGGTCTTCGAGGATTACATCTACTGGAGTGACCGGTACGGCTCCCTCCCCGCCGCGCAGGGAGCCCGGAGCTCTGCAGAGCCTGCGGGGGGAGACGGGGGTGGATCTGGAGGTGTTATGCAAATGAGGCAATGCCCCTGCTTTGAATTTACATATCATTTGCATAAAATGCAATCATTCCCGGCATGCTCCCTATCTCGCCTGTGGTCAGAGATGGTGGCCCCTGGGGGTCCTCCAGCACTCTGAACCATAGAGACTGCTGTCTAGAGTATACCCCCAACCCACCCACCCGCTGCCATAGAGCCACAGCGCTGGGCAGGGCTATGGCTAGAGTGGCTGCCTGCCTGGTGCCGCTCTACCCACACCAGTGCTGGAGCTCTATGGCTGCGGGGCTTGGTGGCGAGAGCTACGCTCTAGGCAGGGGCTCTGTGGTGTGGAGTCCTGGAGGACTCACCTGAGAGCTTGGTTCCCGCCAGCGAGCGGCCAAAGAGCTGGCTAGAGTGGCTGCCTAGGTAGTGCCGCTCTAGCCATGACGCTGCCCAGTGCTGCAGCTCTGTGGCTGGGGGAGGGTTGGGGGTATGCTCTAGACATGCGTCTCTATGGTTCGGAGGCCGAGGGGGGGTCCCTATGGGTCTCTGTGGTTCAGAGGCCTGGGGGGGGTCCCTAG